CTATTCTATTCTATTCTATTCTATTCTATTCTATTCTATTCTATTCTGTTTCAGCTTTAACCACAACAACACAAGAGCACACAACAAGATATAAACTTAATGTAAACCACTCCAAACTTGGATTGCAAGGAAGTACGATTTCAGCCACAGAGTGGTCAATCTCTGGAACTCACTACCTGATTCTGTTGTCACCTGCTCAAACCCCTCACTCCTTTACCCTCAAACTAACCTCTATTGACCTTAGAGGTCCTAAAGAGGTCTGTAAGGGGAGTGCATAAGCATTGTGCCTAACGCCCGTCCTATTGTCCCCAATGATTAGTTCCTATTTCTTGTATTTAAACTCATGTTTATTCTTGTTTCTGTTGAATTGTAAGCTTTTGACTAAATAAAATAAAATAAAATAAAATAACATAAAATAAAATAATAAAATAAAATAATAAAATAATAAAATAAAATAAAATAAAATAATAAAATAAAATAAAATAAAATAAAATAAAATAAAATAAAATAAAAATAAATTTTGCTTTTCAGAATGTAGAGCTGGCTTTTCCTCAAATGTTATTTACACACACACACACACACACACAAACCCTCCAATTGTCCATGCTTGCCAAATCATGCTTGCCAAAACCTATGGAAAGGAAGAGGAGAGGGCCTCTCTCTGGGCGAACTGGCAAGGGAAGGGTTAATTTCCCGCAGAGCATAGGAAAAAGACCGCTCTAGCCCTCTTTACCCTCCGAAGCGGAGCCATCCTCCTCCTCCTCATCACCATCCGGCTTTCCTTTTTTTACCGTGTACCGATCGCCGCCGGCTAGACAGTCTCTCGCCGGCGGTTCCTCCTATCACCGAGATCCTTCGGGGAGTTTGGCCGGGGTGGGGTGGGGGGAAGGGGTTCCTAGAGCGCCTCGTCAGGGAGAGGAAAAACTAAAATAAATAAAAGCGAAGAGACCCAGACCGGATGTGACGAAGATCGTTTGCGTTCTCTCTCTCTCTCTCTTTTTTTTTAATCCCCCACGCTCCCCCTCCCCCTTGCACCCTCCGCTCTCGGGGCGCCTGCCGTCTCTCTTGCTTCCTCCCTCCCCCGCCCCCACCACCCCACCGCACCAGGCACTTTGAAGCGGCGCTTCCGAAGCCGAGTCGGGGATTTTGCGGCTCTTGCGCGGGCGGAAGAGGCCGGTGAGTCTCGGGGAGGCCGCTGGCAGGGCAGCCCGGATCAGCAGCAGCAGCAGCAGCAGCCCCCCCATTGAAAGCAGCCGGGAGGAGGAGGAGGAGGACGGGGCATCTGCGGGAGCCCCCCAGCAGGGCAGCCTCCTCGGGCACGTCGCCCACGTGGAGCCTCGGTTGACTCCTAACGTTACTTCGCCCCTGCCAGCCACCCCGCAGGATGCGGCGGGGGCTGGAGGGAAGCGCTTGGCCGGAGACACCCCCGCCCCCCCCCCAAAGATCCTGGGGGTGGGGTGGGGTCTCCGATCTCCACCAATCCAGCCCCCTCCCGGCCGTCCTTGCAAACCCCGGGGTTGGGGAAGAAGCCACAGCCGCTTCCCTTCTTCTTTTCTCCCCCCACCCGGCCATAACGGTCCCCCATGGCTTTCAAAGAAGAGATTGGACTCCCATCGGTCAGAAATGGTGTAGGGTCTCCCGCTTGGGCGGGCGGGGGGTGGGTGGGTTGGACTGGATGACCTACAAGGTCCCTTTCCAACTCGGATGATCTGTTATTCCCCTTCCCCAGAAAGGGTCCCTTCCAGAGAGGTCGGAGGAGGAAGCAGGTCCTAAGGTTTGGCTTAGATTGTATTGGCTGGGAATGCTGGGGTTTGTAGTCCCGACGGCCACTGGATGGGTTTTCCACCTCTGCTTTAGAAAGGCCAGGGGGCGCCAGCCAGGGGAGATGGAGGCTGTGGCAGGGCAGTTATTTATCATTAACTAGCAGGGTTACCCGTGCTTCTTCGCTATGTGATCGGGCCAGTTTTTGGGGAGGAAAATAAGGGAGGGGGGGAGTTCTGCCTCGGCCTACCAGCATCCGTCGGTTATTCATCCGGCTAGTGTCCTGTCAGCGTGTGAGAGAGTAGAGGGCGGTTTGGAAACTGGAAGAGTATTTGCTGTGTGAGCAAAGAAGGAGACAGCAAGGAGCCTGGGCGTGGCTTAGCTCAGCTGCAGTTGGAACAGATTTCTTTTCAGGTGGGGAGGGGGAGTGGAACTCCTTAGCATCAGAGCGTGTTAATAATAATAATATAGGAAATACTAATGCTCTGGTGGTCATTTGGAAAAATCCTTTCTTAGTGAGCACCTAGAAGCCAAGAGGAACATATGTACGTGCCAAATTTCAAGTTTGTAGGCTTTACGGTTCTGGAGATTTTGTGATGATGCGTGAGTGCTATTTCGCTTTTATATATAGATATTATTTTTTTCAGTTTATAATATTTTAAAGTACTATTGAGCTAAGTTAATGACAAGTGGTCCTCAACTTACAACAAATCGTTGTGGCTGTAAGTAGAGGACTAGCTGTAATAGAAGAGCTCTAGAATATTGTATGTGTTGCCTTTCTACATTTTGGAATAAGTAAAATAGCATGCATTGCCATCAAAAAAGCATTAAGAAGCATTAACTCTCTCTGATTGTCTAACTGTATGGTTGGTCTTTTCAGCATATATTTTTTTCCTGACATATAAGATCATGAACAGATACTTTTACTTTAAAGTAGATACATTATATGAAGAGCCAACAATTTTTTAACGAGTTTTTATTTCACCGTTCCAGATTAATGATATTTTGAGATGGGTTACAGCTGGTATGAAGTCATTCTTAGAAAATCAAAGCATTATTTTAATAAATAGCACTTTAAAGGTGCTCCTAATCCAGATCAGTGCTTCAAGTAAAGCAAACCATTTGGAAACCGAATGTTAACTCTTAAAATCCACCCGAGAGAGAAAAATATTTAAGTCTTGGGGAGGAATCATATATATTTTCTTTGTTCTATAGATGCACTCTCTGGTCTGGTCTGAATGGATTTTTTATTCTTTAAATCCTGAATTAGGGAGGAGAAAAAAATTGTTTCTTCACCTGATGAAATGCTTTCTCTCATAACTCAATCCTAATACTATATTTTCCTAAACTAAGATGCCCCAGCAACTGGGATATGAAGTAACTTAATTTTACAAACAATTTTGTATTATACGGGTAAGCGTTGCTTCTGTCACTGTAATCAATCAAACTAAAAAGCAGAACCAGAAATCATCTTCTTTAAAAAATTGTGTTTCTGTTCTTTTCAGAGGTACAATATTTGCTGCTTTTTAATCCTGGCTTTATGCACTCCAGCTCTAATGAAATGTTCAGGAGATTTCAAATTGTGCCATTTTGACTTGCCTTTTAAAAAGATATTGCCCTACGGTGGATTTTATAAGGTTTTTTAAAAAATAATATCTTGCAGTGAATTTGAATTATTTCACACAGTTTTAGGTGATTTTAACACACTCATAATCCTACTGGCTCTAGGCAATTTACAAACATAAATCTGTCATTAAAAGCCAACAACAGAAGGCCTGGTTAAAAAGATAATCGTTTCAAGCTCCCTTCTAAACTGTAAGCAAGAAGGTAGCCAGATTTTATTTTGGTGGAAAGGAAGATATACTACAGAAAGGGCAGAATGCAGATGTTAATTTGATCTCATTTTGATTGATATTTTTTAAAAGAAAGCCTCCATCCTTTTAACAGCATCTTTTTATATGACTATAACTTCCTGATTCTCTCTGTTGTTTTGGAGCACAGATTTGATCATTTATGTGTGGTGTGGCAAAATCCAGAAACAAACGAAGGGAAAAAATCTATAATGCTTAATGTCAAAATCCATGGTTTATAAATGTAACATCGTTCATTATAACAAATAAGAATGCATGTCGAAAAAGCTTGACCCACTATCTTATATAAGCTTTTCTGAAAGATCGATATATATATATCACGCTGGGATATCCAAAAGGTAACTAGACTTTCTGGGTTTGTTTTTTTTAAACGTTTCATTTTTCATTCAAGAAGTTTCTTCAGTCCATCACTCTGGAATATTGTTAGAACTTAACTGCCACCCTAATGAAAACAAACAGTGCAACCCGTGCACCCTATTTGCACATATAAGACCTAAAAGTGTACAGTTTAAAACATAAATACAGTGTAATATAACATCTTGTGCTGGAGAGAACTAAAATTCTACATTTATTAGACTTCAGATTACAGAATAGAGCAACTTGGAGCTTTTTTCATTTCCAAAGCTTGTTAAAGATTTTCCTACACACTACAAAACAAGAATAAGGTACATGTATATTATATATTCTATTTTGAATGATAGCTCTTCCATAATGTAGTCTAATCAGGAAAACTATTCTGAATTTAAATGCATAATTTTAGAATGAAAAGTAAGTTGAGCAATAATTCTTGTCCAATATATCCTTCCAGATATATTGAACAAAATTCCATTCAACATAACTATCTCGGAGATACAAATTAAGGAAAGAATTAAGGGATGGCACTCTAATTATCTTGGTAAAAAAAAAATCTTGCTCAAAGCAATATTCTTAATTCTTTAGCAAACAATGGCTTCTGGAATGGTTTATAAAAAGCAGTAATATCAACAGAAAGGCTTAAGATGCAGTCTTTGATCTTAAAGTTATGCTTTTAAGGATTAACATTTAAGAGGGAAGATAGAAAACAGAAATGGGAACAACAACATTAAAAGTTGGCTATCGGTTCTTAGTGTACATGTTGAAAGAAACAGTTTAGGAACCCAAGTTGAATAGTTTTTGATGAACTAACTTAACCATTTAAGGAGCTGCTGTTTCAGCAAAGATAATAATACAGAGCTGCTTTGTAACCTGAGAAAATAATGCCATTATGATTTGGAATAGTTTTCTGACCCTCAAGTCAGAAATGACTGAAGTGAAAAAAATCCCTGGATATAATCTAACCCAGTTTTTCCTCCTTTTTTTTAATGCTTTTAGAAAATCCTTAGTTTTATTGCAGGCAACATGGCCTATTCCGTTCTCAGAGAGGGAGAACTATCAGTTCTGCACTTAAGGATCAATAAAAGAATATATTGAATGGCTGAAAAATGAGGCCGGCTCCTAAATTTAGCATAACTTCATTTTGTGAATAGATTGATACAGCTCGACTTACGACCACAACTGAGCCCAGATATCTGTTGCTATGAAAGACAGGTATTTAAGAGTTTTGCCTCGTTTTACAACCTTTCTTGCCACAGTTGTTAAGTTAGCAACATGATTATTAAGTGAATCTGGCTTCCCCATTGTCTTTGCTTGTCGGAAGGCCGCAAGAAGGGATCATACGATCCTGGGACACAGCAACGGTCATAAATATGAATCAGTTTCCAAGCATCTGAATTTTGATCACGTGAGGATGGGGGAGGATGCAATGTGAAAGTGTGAAAAGGGGTCATAATAAGTCACTTTCTTCAGTGGGATTGTAACTTTGATTGGTCACTAAGTGAACTATTGTAAGTTGAGGATTGCCTGTGATTTTCTTTTGCTCCAATATAGAGAAAAAGATTTAAAAATGGTTTTCCACCACAAGTAGTCCTCGTTTGATCGGTTATAATATCAGTCACAACTCATGAGTGTCGTAAACTGAGTCATCATGTGACCATGCCCAACTTTAAGGCTTTTTTTTTTCCAGCACTCTATAAGTGAATGCGATTGTAAAGAAAACACCACATGGGGCAATTTTTGACAGAAATTGGAAGTAAACGCCCGTTTTCTAGCCAAAACGTTCCGAATTGTGGACACATGACCGCAAAATGGCCTTAAACGTGCCCAAAAAGTTATCACATGAGTGTGTGGTTGGAGAGGCCGGAGGTCGGAATTTCAAATCTGGGTCAAAAGCGGCTTTTTTTGGAATTTTTTTTTTTGGGGGGTGGGATTTTGAATGGTTGCTAAGCAACCCATCGTAGGTCAAGGGCTACCTATACAATAGAATAGAAATAGGATAGGATAGGATAGGATAGGATAGAATAGAATAGAATAGAATAGAATAGAATAGAATAGAATAGAATTCTTTATTGGCCAAGTGTGATTGGACACACAAGGAATTTGTCTTGGTGCAAATGCTCTCAGTGTACATGAAAAGAAAAGATACATTTGTGGAGAGTCAAGAATCACAAGGTACAACACTTAATGATA